ATTTAGTTTTGTCTAGTTTATTTTAACTTAATTCATTTTTTCTATTTTAATTTAATATTATTTAAATTTTTTTATTTATTGCTTGTCAAAAAATAACTACGTACACTCATTTCAAAATTGTTCCTTATATTATGCACAACGCCTTAAGGTAGGCAACTTCTCGCCAACGTAAATGTATATGTAATAGAAGTGAGAACGGTGAAGACATTTATGTTCGTCATTATGTGTTTAGTAAAATACAACAAACGATGACTTGTAAATTGCCGGTTACGTAAGGTAAATAAATCAAGAAATTTATTTATACCCACGGTGCCATAAATTGTATAAATTATATTCAAGAAATGCATATTTTTTAATTTTTTTTACTCAAGACGAAAAATATTCAGGTGTCTGTGTTTTTAAGCAAGTGTGAAAGCGTGCATATTTTGTTAAATCAAGTTTATATGAATAAACAATAAAAATCTCGTTTTCATGGAATCCTAAGAAACTGGAAAAATCGATTTCAATCAATACACCTACATTCCTATCTGCAATGCAATAATGTATTTGTGTGAAAAGGAAATACTTTTATTCATTCTTTTTATCAACAGGAAGGATGTTGCTTACGAGACTGCTGTCAGAAGGAAAAATATTTATATGACATAATATTATTTATTGACATCGAACTGATAATTTTTAGAACAAAAAATAATTTGGGTATAAGGTAATATATTATGGCACCTACACGTCCCCTTAAAAACTCTGCTAAAATTTCATCGTATATTCATAAAAGATGAAAAGAATATAAATTCTGCAAAATTTTACTAAATTTGGTCTTGAGAGACTTAATCGTTAAGACTAGTGAAGAAAAAGATTATTTTTGTAACCAATAGAATCATTTATTAAATAGATGATATCATATGATGTGATGTGAAAAGAAGTGATATCATGTGATGTGCGGTATATGACTCGAAGTCGTGTGATGAAATATAATGTGATGTAGTTTTTTGTATGGTATGGAATATTTCTTGCAATAATAGAGTGATACCATTTTTAGTATGGTAAGGAATATTACTTGCCATTATGTAAGTGGGATATAAGTTAGCATGTAATTATGTAGGTTAGGTATAAAGTGTGCCATTGCTGTAAATGTGATATTATTTATTTTAATTATTAATTAAACTTTTTATATTATAATATTTTTAAGGTATAAACTATGAAGAATTAAGCTAAATTGATAATTGCCTATTATTTAAATAATTGTGGCAAAGAATAAAACGATGTGATGTTCTATGATGTGATATCATGTGATGTCGTCAGGTTGGTCATATGACATCTCACATTATTGTCATGCATAAAGAAAATCAATCGACAACAAAATCAAAGCTATTGGTATGCAATGTAAAATTATACCATTTGCAGTTATATGTCGATATAATTAACACATTATATTATATATATATATATATATATATATGTATATTACACGCGTCACAAGATGTGGGTTGCACTCATACAAAATTTATTTTTAATTAACTGAAGTGCTGCTGTGTTGCTTGCAGTAATATAATTAAATAATAATAGAGACGCAAATTGTTTGAGATTAATTAAAAATGTTTTTAATAAAAAAAGCTTTTCCTTTTTTTGTGTGTGTAGTATTCAGATGTATTGAAAACTTTAGTATTACAAAACAAAACATGGAATTCACAGGTTGAAAATAATTTTTTCTTTGCCATAATTTCTGCTAACACAGTTCTGATTAGCCCTGCCTCAGTCAGGATCCCAATTAGCCTTGGAATGTCCTCCTTTTTTAATAAATATAAGCCATCGACCTCCTCAGATCGGATTTCGTCCAAGTATATCTCGACTTGAGATAGATGAAATGAAATATTGCCAAACATATAAGGTTGCCAAGCATATAATGTTGCCAAAACATAAAATGGTTTAAAAAACCACGCCGCATTGATCAATGTTTTTATAAAATAATTTTGGATGCTGGATCGAAGAGTCACAAAACAATATAACATAAAATGTTGTCAAACATTGGGTTTCTTACCAATAAAATTATTAAATTTTATTTAATTAAAATAAATCCGAAAAAAGTAAAAAAAACCTAAAATAAAAAAAATAATATTATTCACCTCAAAGTAATTAGAAAGTGAAATTTGTGAAAATTGCACACAATATTTATAATTCGCCTATTTTTTGTGTTGCCCAAACAAAATCTCTTTCCCGTTGAGCTTATCTTCTATTTGCAAGATTTTGTTGTCACTGCGGTTTCTTGTCTTTGGTTATCAGAAGACATTCGCAGTTGCTGTTAAATTTTGGCTTATATAAGTTTGTTGTAAACTTATTTGTTGTTTTGCTGCATTTCACACGCATACTTGAAAACTGCTCACAGCATATGATTTTTGCTTTCAGATGCTGCTTCGTACTGCTGCTAAAGTTTTTATTGGAAATCCCTGGAGTATGAACATAAAGTCCAAGTTTGCATTACAAAACCACAATCAGAATGAGTTCACATTTTGTACAATGCAATTGTAAATTCTAAGTTTGTATGTAGTTTTGAAACCGCACTTATGTAAAGTGCAAGTAAATAAGTGATAAGGTTCTTATTCTCTGTTTACATTCAGCTGGTTATGCTTTTCATGGAAATTCTATTTCTCTGCTCACATACATACTCCTAAGTATGCATATATGTATGTCTGCGTGTGCTCATAAACTTTAGAATCATATTTTTTTTACATTTCCCATACCATTATACGAAAAGTACTTTTCCGACTTGCATATGCCATTTATTTTATTCTTTGCTCTTTTGCCACAGATTAAATTCTTCCATTGTGAGCTTTCAAAAGTTTTAATTGTTTTTAATATTTCAAAGGGATTAAATGATAATTTAGTAATAATTATACAATAGCTAGCTCGTAGTTTGAGGAGGATTTTTACTAGGAAAGTTGAAAATTTTAGATTTTGTTTGACATGAAAATCATAATTTTAATTCCACAAAGCAATCCGAAATTTGTATATTAAACAATTTTTCTCTCACTACTCAAATTAAAATTAAATTAAATTTTAATTTTTTTATATAATTTTTAGTTTTATTTTAATAATAGTTTATTTTTGATCTTAATTTAGAAATATAATTAATTTAATTAAATTCAGTATATAAAAATGGCCTAAAGAGAGAGAGAGAGAGGGAGAGAGAGAGTAGACCTTTAAATGTGTTCCCTCTTCCCCTCTTCTCTCCATCTTAATTAAGGTGCAAAGGACCTACTAACCCTAGACGAACGACGGACGCGAATAAGCTAATCAAAACGAACTTCACAGTAATCAACAATCTCTGCCGTTAAAAACTCTTTAAAAGTATTGTAGTTCGGTGTTGACGAAAAGTCTATAAGTCTATAAGGACGGCAAGGTATATTCGACTTTCTATTCAAGTCTGCCTCCTATGTCCTCGCCGCTTGATATTTTTAAATTAGATATTTATTTGGAAAAATCATATGTGTATGTGCAGATATCTCTATTACTAAAAATTTGTCGCATTATTCTCGGAACTCTTTGATTCTATTGTGTTCTATTCGACAAGCACATTCTTCTCTGCAAATAAAAAAAAAATAAATTTGCCAAAAAAATTTAACCTCAAATTGCACACAGAAATTTCTTCAGAAGACGCGCACTGCATATAAATGCACATTTGTGGCATATGCAACACGATGATAAGGGTGACACTTACATATATAAATCTTTTGTAATAAATAATTCCGCTTAATTTTATTTAATAAATATTTTCTCCTAAAAATTGTTCGATTTTCACAACTTTCTCCTAAGGCCAAGCAGTTTGCTATAGAGAGGAATCTCCTGGTGGATGCATAAGAACCTTACAACCAAGCTGTTGCGAGTCACTATCGATATGTGTGGTCTGGCGATCTCTTCATGAAACATATTTCTCCTTCATTGGCCAAAGCAGGAAGCTTCTGGGTGATGGCCTCTTTCAGACTGTCCAATTGCTCACACTACAAATCAGAGTTAAGAGTTTGCCTTAGGAGAGCAGCTCATAGTGTATGATTCCCTACTAACCTTGCTGGCCGTCAATCCAGGCTTGGAGATCATTTCTGTCCTTCCACTACGACCGTTTTCATTTGGCGGTGCTGTAAGAGATTCACTTTTCAGCAACAGTCGCTATCCGCTTCAAAAATATGTCGATTACGCGTTTGCGTTACACCCTAATATAAATACGATTGCATTCCGACATCCCAACAAAATGCGTATGTGCGTGCAAAATATTTATACGCGTAGCGCAAGCACTTTTTTATTTCTTCTCTAATTCCATGTCAACTTCAACATAAAATTTCAAACTTTTAACACTTTTACAAAATTTATTTTTCCCTTGTTATCACTTACTGTATTTGTACTCGTGTGTGTGTATGTAATTCGTACAATAGCGTGGAAAATAATTTAGAAAAATACTCATAGTATAACAGTAAAAATGGCAAACTTTCCCACTTAAAACAATGCAAAAGTTCTCAAGAAATGTGGAATTTAAGTGCCGCGTAAAATACTTGTGAATTGCTTGCACCGGAAATTATTCAATACTTCAACGATTCGAGTGTGACTTCGGAAAGTTGGTTGGTGAGTGCTTTGTTTTTGTCCTGCGTACTCAATTGCAGGTGTTGTTGCGGATAAGTGATATGGTTTTGAAGATTCGAATGCATGAGTAATCATTATCTTTTAAGAGCGCAAAATTGTTTTTCAGAAATTGTCAAGTGATTTGCAGATGTTTTCTTATAATATCACTAACAATTGTTTGAAGATAAGAACAACATTTCCTTTGTTTGTTATTTTATAATAATTCTTTGATATTTCCAACTGAAACTTAACACTTTTGTATCAATGAGTGATAAAGAAAAGAAACTTTTTAAACAGCAAATAATAGATATTTATTTTGTTTTTGTGTGTCAAACGCTATCTACAGTTTTAATATTAAATACTCGTATGTAAATATATATTTCTTTATATTTCAGATAATAAGCAAGAGTTCTGACGCATGGAGCTACTAAAATATTAGCTAAATTAAGGTGAGTGTTTTCTGAAAATAAACGAAGTTTGTTATGTATAAATCGCATTGTCATTTATAACAAAAAAGTACAAAAACTGAGAGAATTGTGACAACAAAAACTTAAATAAAAGATAAAGTTATAAATTTCAAATCACAATCACAGGTTAAATTTTTTTTGAAATTTGCTATACTTTGGGTTACAATTTTATTTTATTTATTTTCATTCATAATTCATGCAATTAAATTTTTCGCTTTTTAATTTAGTTCGCTTTACCTTATTTATTTTAAATTAAATTTATTAAAAACACTTTTTAATCATTGATTGTTATATTTTACCTTAATTTTATGTTTTATTTAATTTTATACAAATATATTTTAATTGTTTTATTATGCTTCAATTTTTAATTGAGTTTTCATTTTATATTTTATTTTATTCGTATCAATTTTCAGTTTATTTAATTTAGTTTTATTTTTACATTTCTTCTAATTTATGTAATTTTGCTTAATTTAAATTTGTATTTTCTTTTAAATATTTTATTTTATTTTATTTTTCTTCATTTTATTTTATTTTATTATTCCTTTAATTATATTTTACTTAACTTTATTTTATTCTGCTTTGATTATTTTATTTTATGTTAATAAATTTAATTTAATTTCATTTCATTGTCTTTTATTTAATTTTTTTATTTATTTTATTTTCTTTAATTTGTTATTTAATTTTTTTTTTTGATTTTATTATATATATTATATACTATATATTTATTTATTTTTTATTTCTTGTATTATATTTTATTTAACTCTGTTTTATTTTGCTGTGATTATTTAATTTAATTTAATTCTATTTTATTTTATTTTATTTTATTTTATATTATTTTATTTTATTTTATTTTAATTATTATTTATATTATAATATTTTGTTTTATTTTACTTCATTTTAGCTTATGTTATTTTATTTGTGTGTTGTTTTATTTCAATTATATTTATATTTTATTTTATTCTATTTTATTTATTTATTTTTTTTAATATCTTTTAATTATATTTTAAACATTTTTATTTAGTAATATTGTTATTTTATTCTATTTGATTTAATGTAATTTAATTTTATTTCATAATGAAATTAAACAAAAGTATTTTATAATTGTTTTTGCGGCCATTTATAAGTATTATAAGTATTATATAAGTATTAAGTAAACCCAAGGCCTTGTTTCTTTGTTTGAATTGAACATTTTTTATTTTAATGTGTTTAATTAAATTTTTTTTCTAATCTTTTTTTCTAATCTTGTTCTTTTTAATTTATATTTTTATATATTATATAATTTTTTTTTATTATTTCATTTTTCATAAAATTATTTTATTTTCTTTTAATTTAATTTAGAATTTTTTATTTTGTTAAGCTTTTATTTATTCTTTTTTGGCTTTATTATTTCGTGTCAAGATCATTGATATCTCATACTTCTATCTTATGAGAATGGATCTTTTGAAACTGCCACTGCGACTAATTACTTCTCATAACCCTGCGCTGAAGTGCAAACATTTGCTCATATATATATGCATTTGATTGCACTTGTATGATAATAGTTAAAACTTTGAGGCCAGTGAACCGAAGATCATCTGCGTTGCGTGTGGTTGCATGCCCCATTGACGCACTGAAAGGGAGCAATTGTTCTCAAATGGTGCATGCATAAAACTGCACTACTCACACAGTTGTGTTTATTTAAGTTTATTTAATGTGCTGTACATATGTACATACGTACTCGTATTCTAAATGCACATAATCGAGTTTGTGTGTTTTTCAGCAAATATTTGTACTCTGCGTAAGCTCAAGTATTATATCTTTGCCATTTTTCGCATGTCTGTTTCCTTATTCGCATGTCGGCGGCGGCATCATTGCTGCTCGTCTATTCGTCTGCCTGCCTGCCAGACTCCACCGCGCCGCTTATTTATCGCATACTGTCTTTGTGTATAGTTTGCTTTTGTTTCAGACAAATGAAGCATAAAGCCGCCGAACTCGAAGTCAAATTAGCTTCATTAGTAATCGGCTGCTTTTGCTTTTATTATGTCTTATGCTCTCTTTAGGGAAAAGTGTGATTCACACATTAAGGCGACTATGTGAGTTGGTTGTTTGTAGTTCTTTATTGTGCTTGGAGTTTGTTTTTTTTTTCAGTGGTTAGTCAGTTTTATGTTTATTAACATCCAGAATTATTATTAAATCAGTGGCATTTCGAACAAAAATTACTTTATCGGTTAGTTTAAGTTCAACCGCTTCATTCTGGTGGACTTCCTATAGATGATACCATGTCCACAACCTTGTCAGGTATTCTACTTACCACCAATGCTGTACTGCTGAACTTCGTGCAGAGCTTATAGTTTCATGAGTATTCACAGGCTTTCTTGATCAAGTAAAGACCTGCCTAACGCCGGGCTTTCATTGATTACGTGTTTTCTTATATCTGGATATTTCCAGCATTTTTACACATTTCTTGTTCTTTATCCGAAGTAAAATGTAAGCAAGCGACCTCAACAGGAAATACACCAATAATAACCTAGACTCTGGCCTAGACCTAGTAAGTCAAGTTATGCACATTATTTTCGCATTTCTGCAGACCTTGGCTCAAATTCAATGTCTGTCATACTCAAGGTGTGTATTCAGTCCTCTCCATTAGGGTTTGTTTAAAGAACGTAATTCAAATTTTCAAGTTCCGATTCTAACTTCCCCAAGATATTATGTAGAATTATGCCCAGGTTTCGGGTTCACCTTCTCCGGATTATCTATTTTCACTACTATTGAGCAGGTCGTATAAGTGTTCAACTCTTTGCGTCCTACAAAAGTCTGCTTCGGTCTTGAAACCTGCCGTAAGTCGTCGTATGTTCTCATAGAATTTTCGTGCATTACCCTTGTTGGTCAGCTTCTCAAGTTTCCAACCCAAGACTGAGAAATTTCTCAGCCAATAAAGAGTTGAAAACCAATATAGTCGTGTTTTTCAATTGCAAGTCAAAAGGAGTCGATAATCATACGATCATAACGCCCTTTCTTTCATAGAAGTAAGTTCCAATCATACCTTCGGGCCAAAGTTTTCTGTTTGTAATCTTTTTTCGATTATTTTAGGATTCCTGGAGCCCAAATGCGACAATTTCTCGTATCCTCCGAGTGGAAAATGTGTCACGTTGTTCGAAAAATCATCGTCCACTGCTTGTTGCTTTAGGTGCTTGCAAGGTAGGTGAATGGTTAGCTGGCTTCAGTTGTTACGTGAGCAGGACTTTACATAGATTTAGGTGTAAGTCCAAGTGCAAAAATGTGCCGGCAGAAAGTCTCTTTCACTTGCAGTAGCTATATTTGAGGTGGAACGAGGAAAACGGTGATACACAGGCCTTACAATAGCTGTAACCCCACTCCAGTCTCTTCAAATTTCTTTAAAATTTTACCAATGGCTTGTTTTTTCATAAATATCTGACTTTTAACTAAAACAAAACATATTTGGTTTGCCAGGTAAAGTTGGCAGATTTCAAAATACAACCCGGCACCTTTGAAACCATAAAATGGATAACCTCATTCTGGTAGCCAATAATTTCTTTTGCAACATTTCCCTCGTGTTGCGTAAATATTTATTTATTAAATTTCAGATCATTTAGCAATGAAAGTGTACTGCGTACATTATGTGGATCCCTTGCATCTACAATATTTGATCAGCTTTTGTTTTTAATTCCATTTTCGCTAAAAATTAGCACTTTTACCCACAATTTCAGCCACATTTTTCACAGTTGGCGATCGCATGAAATTCTCATTAACTTCATTAAAGTTGCTATACAAACTTCCTTTTTGTTCTAAACGCTAACACTCCGTATCTTATTGGCTTATACAACAACAATATGCTTTGATTTGATGGCCATTAAGGTCAGCGGGCGTAAAAAGTGTGACGTGTAGTAGTCACATACAAACATACTTACACCTAATTTTACACAAATGTTTATGTATTTTGCTTCTCTTTTTTTTGATACTCTTACAACAACAAAAAAATGCAAAAAAAAAAAAAAAACTTGCACACATGTGATTTCACCAGTCATAAATCAAGCACAAAATGTGTCGCAAAATGTGAAATTTTTACACTCTCCACCCGTGCACAGCACACTCACTTACGTATGTATCTACCTCTGCCCTGCGCCTCCCCCTCTCAATCACAGTGCAGCACATTGGTGACATTTCATCAACCTTAATTAGCATTTGTCATGCTGTTGTACGAATGGTGTGGTGTACAGACTGTGAGGCGACCACTGGGCGAACGGATGCAAGTGACCAGAGTGATAAAAATAAAAGTAAATAAAAATAATAACTTTTTATTTTGTTTATTAGTCTACTCATGCTGTACTTTCCAGCTATTCTACATATGTGTATTATTATAATTAAAGGGTGTAATTTTTGAACACTTTTGGCCGCCATTGGGTGAAGTATAATCCCATAGGAAATAGTTCAGCGGTGCTAAATCGCTCAATCTTTGCGGCCGCGTCACAGGCCGACAACGCCAGAAAACGCGCTCACAAAAAGTTTCCTTCAATAAATTGATTGCTTCGTTGGCTTAATGGCATGAAGCGTCGTCTCGCTGAGAACAAAGTTCGTCCCCATCAACATCCCTTAATTCAGGCACGCTAAAGTCATTAATAGTGGCTCTATAGCGCTCCGCTGGCTTAATTATTGAACAAATATGAATCAACCTTCTTGTGAAAGTCAGGATCGGTAACCATCTCATTTTCAGCTCAATCACCGAACGTGCGAAAAGTTTGATAGACCTTCGGCTTCGATTCTTGCACGAGTTAGGCCAAGACTCTCCCGCAACATCTTCGATAAAGTGGATGGGCACAGCTCCGATGGACTTCTAAGGATTCTCTTTGATACTCATGTCTAAAAGAACACCCTTTATTTAATATTAAGTATTAAAGAGTAAAGTAAAAAGATCATATGAGACGTGAGGGAATAATTCCATCCAGTGTCAGTATTTATAAGCTTTTTACTATATTTACTTTCTT